TGTTACATCTGCTTTACATACCATTTGAGAACACATAGGAAAATGAGGCTGTAATTATGATAAAAGAACAATAATGCAGTCGAGTGGCTGTGTTCTAACATCTGGATCTCTGAACCTCCAGCAATTTTTTTTTTCCTTATGCAGTGTAGAAAGGGAGAATATGAAGAAAAGGCAGGTCGGCCATAAAAGTGATTTTTCTCTCCACTAAGATTCCTGTACAAGTGTGTCACTTTCAGAACACCCACTGACTAAGGAATCACACCGTGGCCAATGAAAATACATCATTTGATGTTGTATTGTCATGACCATCTATGTCTTTTTTCAAGCCCTTCAGTGGATGTGGGAGAGGGTAACATTTTTCTGGCTTAAACAGTAAGTGAAGCTCCAAAACATTTATTTGGATTGGGATGTTATTCATACTGCTTTTTATTTATCAGGATAATAGCAGGAAAGGGAGAACAAATGAAAGAATGTAATAAAAAGAATAAGATTCTGAGGAACTTAAGTTCAGTTAATGTAGCAAATTCACTCTTCCTCAACTTTCTGATTTGAAGCAGCTTATTATTTTCTGTCGTCTATTATTTCAATCTTATTGAAATTACAGTTTAATAAATGATTATGTCCCCATTTTCTGTCAATCAGCCAGTGGATGTCGGAATTTTGTGCATACTAGAATGCAGATATAAAGTAGCTTTTTAAAAACCTATGCAGCAATAAGACCATCATAGAATTTCAGATATATTTTAATATAAAATCTGATGGGTAGGGTAATTCAAGATTGGAGAGGAAGTGTCTGTTGAAATTGTCAAAAATGCCTGGCATAATCTATGGCTGGCTACCGGATTTCATGATGATGATTTCCGGTTGATGGAATATAAGCAGAAATGGTAATGAAGATAATATAACTCAAATCTTGATTGTAATGGCAATTCCTTAAGGGAAATATCTGTAGTGTAGTTCTAAATACTGAAAATATTGCCATTTGTCTTCGAGTCACATTTTTATTTCATGTGATAGTCTTTCATGAAGAATCTTTCTTTATACAAAGTATCTCTTTCTTAAAGAAATATTAATAAAGAATATTTTTATTACATAATTTTTACATGTTGCCATTCTAGATTTAAACTGAGTCTAAAATCCAGAAATTTATAGATGATTCCAGATTTCAGACTTGGTGCTTTTAAAAGTTTTTTTTTTTTTTTTTTTTCCTTTTCTCTTCTCTTCACTATCCTCACATTGAAGGAATATGGATCTTAATATCCTAAACATGGATAATTTTTGGAGTTAGTAATTTTTCAGTTAAAACTTGTAAAAATTATGGAATAAATATGAAAAATATAAGATTAAGTCAAAGATATCAATAAAGTTTGTTATTTCTGATTTTCATACATTTGGAGGCTTGCTGTTCTTCATAAAATAGCATTAAGCATGCAGGAAATTGGACAGGACTAAAAAGCATTCATTATATGAGGGGTAATTAGAAGTCAGGTTCATCATAATGTAGTTTGATTGTATACATACATGTGTAATATATATTCACTCTTTTTAGATAATTCTACCAAAATTAATCTTAGGAGATAATATAATCAATATTTCTTTAGTAAATTGATTGTATATATATGTGTGTGTAAAACTATTTATTAAACATATATACGTGTATATATATATATATATATAATATTAACAAGCAAGGTAGTAAGTACAATACTGTATGACCAATTTGGTCTAGATAATTTTTTGCGCAATATGCTGCAAAATTAAGTAAATTAGAAATTGTAGTAAGCTCGCCTAAAAGTTACCAGGAGCTGTGGCTCCAAAAAAGTTCAACACATTTTAAAAAAACAATGTCATTGAAGGGTGAGAAATTATGCTACACGAGAAAATAAACACAGTAAAATACTAAGCGTTGGAAACTAGTAATGGCAAAAAATACAGTAAAATACCTATCGATGTAACACTTGAAAAATTAAAACATATGAAAATCAAACCAAGGAACAAGTTAAAACATAAAACAAACAAAATCAGATAAAAATTATATATCTGTGTGTGTGTGTAATAAATAATTTTTTGCAATTTGTATGCCATTATTCTTTTTCTTTGGTAAAGAATTGAAAAACCTTATGAAGGTGGTTGCACTAATATATATTTAACTAAAGTTTAATTTTTTTGTGAATGGACAGGCTGTATTTTCTAGGTTTTCCCCCTTTTGTAATGTAAATACAAGCTAATTTCCCATTAAAGGCCTGCCATCCGCCATGAAGGAATCCCTTTTGGGCTTTGCCATGTTCAAATAACCAGAGTCCTCATGTGCCTTTGTTAATAAGTCAACTAATCACCAATCTTAAAGTGGATTCAAGAGAACTGCTTCCAATGCACTGAGGTGTTGTTATGTCTGATAGGCTTGTTTTTATACTGACTTTTTTTTAATTAAGTTATTTATCTGTATTGGTTAATTATTTGCAATTTTAAAGCTTTACTAGTTTAGAATAAGCCAAATTAATTAAACAATGAATTTATTACAATGTTCCCACTTTTATTTACTTTATGTATTTATTTTTTACCGCAAAAAGTAATAAAAACTTTTTAACACTTTACCGACTGGTAGCGGTTCGAACATACTATGCCCTTTCACCGCCCACTCAGCAGCCATAGATCGTCCAAGACACCGGCTCGGTTTCGGCCTAGACTGACGCGCGGGAATATATGCGCTTTTCTGAAACTCTGGTAAAATTGTACGCTTCGTGTTATTGTAGGGTAACGAAATTTAATAAAATCTTTTACTTTAATCATATTAGTGTTAAACAATATTTATTTTATCTATTACAATTCGTTTTCAGTTTATTATTTACATAAAATATACCATAATCCATATAACAATATTTGTTGAAAAAAGAAGTGGTTTAATATTTTTTTAAACTATGATAGCGCTCGAAACAGTCACCTTTGTGTAGTGGGACGTTGCAGTATTTACAAGCGAAACCTGTTCTGCTTAGTTTTTTTTTACTCTGCATTGTCGTAGGGGTTTTTTACATTGACCGCTGGTCACTATATTTACTAGTTTATGCTTTCCGAAATTTGCCAGTCTTCTGGGATGATCAAATGGGGATGTGGTTCTTGTGTGTTCGAAATTAGGTAGATCCTTACCTTGTTCTTCAGTTTCGCAGTCTTCTATCAATGAAAGTGCCGCTTTGTGCAGAAAGTTTTTATATGTAATCTTCTGTCCGTTCAGAGTTGTATCTACTTTAAAGGAGTTAAAAAGTGCACAATTGATGAAGAACATTACGACACGTTTCGTCCATTTTTTTTTGTTTTCCTAAAAATGGAGTAATAGGACAGATATTGATTTGCCGATCTACGCCCTTCATATATTTATTATAATCTATTATTGAAATAGGCTTCTGTATGGGGCAATCTGATGTCCTGCTTCTGTTTCTAGATTCCGCCATTTGTGCAGAATGTATTGTTGATATCATGTTTACATTCCTTTTACCATTATTCCATAATCCATATAACAATATTTGTCGAAAAAATATGGCCATTTCTAAGAAATTGATGTTGGCCTCTTGAAAGCTTGACCGTTTGAAGTATTTGAGGAAGACTTCTGTTCTTTCAAATCGTCCCGCACACTCGCAATTTATTTTTAAAAAAATTTTTAGCTATGTTGACACTATTATAATAATTATCTTGATATATATATGGTGCCACATGTTCTTATACAGTCCATTGACCGATAATACTGTCTATCTCTAATTTTTTTCCATCAGCAGGCATACACACAAAAGTTGGATACGTATCCTGTACGAGCTTCAGACAGCAGTCTAACCATATTTTGTAATTTTTGCCGGATTATATGTTTTGATTGACAGTCTACCTCTCCACGGAATTAAACATTCATCTAGAGACAATTGTTGATCTGGTTTATATACGTTGTTAAATTTTTCCTTGAAATAATCAATGACAGGCTGGACCTTCACCAGCCTATGCAAATTGGGAGAAATATCGTTATTATTACAAAAATGCCAGCTTTGCATTATTTGTAAAAATCTGTTCCTGCTCATAACCTTCGAGAAGAATGGCGTTTCTATAGATGGGTCTGTAGACCAATAATCGTAGAGAACGTCCTTCTTTACTTGTCCCATGAGAATGATCAGGCCCAAAAATTTCTTCATTTCAGTCACTGTGACATCTTTCCATTTTTTTCGTTTTTGATGTAATTCTATATTTTTCCACAATTTGATAATGATATTTATTAGACTCCCCTCACGAAGTGCTCAATCAGGTCACTTCCAATGAATAAATTCACAATATCCATTACGCTTTCGGAGGAACTTGGCACAATTTTTACGCCAGAGCTGCCTTCGAAAGGTTCCAAAATTATACTCTTGTCGTTCATTGACCATGTATCATTGTTGTCTTCAACATTATTATTAATGTCCTCGTCTTCTGAATCACTGTATATTAATGGTACAGGACGTCGCTTTCGAATGGCTATACTACTGCTATCACTTTCGTCATCAGTACTATTTGCTGAACGGCAGTCAAGACAATCTGACAAATCGTCGAGATAAAACTCGCCGAGACTATCCTTTCCATTCATTTCTAAGGGCTAAAGCTTAGGATAAAGCACTGATTATCTGAATAAAGAATGTGAAATGCTTGCTATTTGTCAATCTAACCTAACCAAATATAACAGAAAGATCAAAAGTCAATTAATCGACGACCGGTCATCGGTAAGCGCTGGGGATCAAAAGTTGATTAATCGACGACCGGTCGGTAAGCGCTGGGGAGCAAACGTCAATTAATCGACGGCCGGTCGGTATGCGCTGAGAACAAAACGTCGATTAATCGACGGCTGGTCGGTAAAGTGTTAAGCTGTGAAATCCTTATAACCAGAAATTTAAATGTAGCATTTCTGAATGTGCATTGTTTGAAAATTATGACTTATAAATAATTATGAAAATTTAACTGCTTACTAATACTTTTTATCTTTTGTTTCATAGCTCGTTTTGTAAAGATCATAAGCCGAAACAGAAAGAGATTAAAGTGCAAGATGAGGATTTACATTGCCATATATGTTACACACGTGTTTCTCATGATGAATTAGGTTCATGTCTATACCCACCATGTTGTAAAAAGAATTTTTTTCATCGAACTTGTTTACAGGTATTGTTCCCACAATATAATAAAAACTAAGTTTGGTAAATTGAGTCTAAAATGCGGATTTCATTATGGTTTACCTTTTTTTTTTTTCTTGTGTGTGTGTGTGTGTGTAATAAATTCTTAAATATCTTAGCATGTGTTCCTGAAGCTTTCTCTTGTAAAATGGAAATAAACAAGCTAAGAATATAAAGCAGAAGTTTTCAACCAGGAGAATTCCTTTTCAGGGTGAATTTCATAGTTTCAGGAGGGATGCAGTCAGACTTATTTATGTGTTAAGTATCTAGTTTTAGTTTATGACTAAAAAACGACTTTTATTGAAGTTGTAGCTATGAAAATTTTCTGTGCTTTTTTATTTAATATGTAAAACACAATAAAAAAGAATCTAAATTAAAAAAATGCATATGTACTTTTCAATTTTTGGAAAGTAGAAGGGGGAGAGAATCATCATCTTGCAATGATGAAAGGGTTGTATGGGACAAAAAGAGTCTCTGATATAAAGTATTAAGTGTGGCTACTATTATTTAGCTACAATATAAAGACATCTTAGAGTAAGAAAAGGAAATCAAAGCTCTGTTCTCGTCAGCCTGTGGGGGAACTGTTCCCTTTTCCCCCAAACGATGACAGTACTATCTGGAACTTTATAGTTTTTGCCGTTGCAAAGTGCATTCTGGGATTTTAGAAAACATTCTGTATTTGGGACACTGCTATGAGACCAGCATGTGATCTAGCTTCTTTAATGGCAAAAGCTATCAATAATAAATAAAATTATGTATTTGTTTTTGAATTGTGCTCTAAGGCATTAGCATCTTTTCTTCCTTACACAAGAAGCTCACTCAACCGATTTGATTATAAAAATATGTGGAATGTATGCAACCGCTGTTACAACAAGCCTATATAAATCATTCATTGAGGAGAGGAGGGAACATGCAGGTATACTAGAAATGTAGTTTTAAAAAGTTAGAAGCAGAGATCTATGTAACTATAGGGAAACTTCATAACAACCACCTCTGAGAGTGCCCGGTAGTAAACATAATTGAATAGCAGCATTTGGTATCACTGACATTTTCTGTGGTGGCTTAATCAGAATTGGTTAGGTTCATGAGAGGTATTAGTTATCATTGCTTAGCAGTTATTGTGAATAAACATATTGCGGAAAAGCTAAAAAAATAAATAAAATTATCATAAAATTTTGTTTATTATTATAATATGCTCTATATTATAGATGCATTTTTCAGCATCATTATTTAATTGCACGTTTCAGTAATAAGCCTAACTAAATATTTTATCTGTATTTGAATTCTAATGCCAGAAATAAACAGGGTTGCACTCTACCTGGAATACCAGGAAAAGCTATTGAACAAAAGAAAATTCTACTTGTTGGTTTAGAGAGCCCATTTTTCTGTTATCATCTGCAGTTAAAAAAATCTGGTAAGTGAAATTTGTATCTCATATACATTATTAAATAATTTTTTTTAAATGTACGTTTGCTTAACACACTGTTGTACACTGATGAGCCAAAACATTATGACCTTCCCCTCATTATCAGTGCACTCGTCTGGATGAGGTGGAGGGTACATGATTAAATGGGAATTGTATTTAACTGCTGCTGGAGAAGGTAATGAATCATTTTTGCACTTACTTTTACGAGTGTTTTGAAAAGCTGCTGATCTTAGTAAATTTGACAGAGGGCATATTGTAATGGCCGAATACATAGAGCAAGTATATCCAAAATTACTCAACTGGTAGGTTGTTCACGAAATGCCGTTGCTAGTATTTATGCAAAGTGGATAAATGACAGTGAAAGCAACAGTTGATGCCAGAGTGTTGGACGTCCATGCATTTTAGAAAAAATCTGATGTGTACACCACATGACTTCCTTGTATGGAATATTAAATTATACGCATTTTTCTTGAATTTCATTTAAACTTATTGGATTGAATTAAATCTACTTCTCCGACAGCGCATAAACCACAATAGAATAAATGCATTCTTTAAAATTCACTCTATTTGTTTACCATAGCGACACTCTGGCACTAGGTTCACTTAACAGTATTATATTTCATTCATGTTATAACTCAGAATGCACAAAATTTATATCATTTAAAGAATTATCTAATTGTTGCCACATGTTCTATTCAAATACTATAATAAAGCTAAAACGGTATATAAAAGAAAATTAATCAAACAAAACAAGAAAGAAACAGTTTTTCACAGACGATTGAGTATTTCTCATTCAATTAATTCAGTTCTCACTTCGCGACAAGGCAAAAATACATAAAAACTCAAAATATCTGTAATAAAAATTACGAAGTAAATCTTAAACACTTATTTCCTCGAAAAAATTCCAGAAAGGATTAAGCACGATTTAATTCGCAATAATAAATGAAGGTGTTACAGATTGGCAACAAATCCACTGTTCTGCTGTTTCAAATGTAAACGAGCAATGGCCGTCATCAAAAAAATTATTAGGCTTAGCGGCACTTAAACAACTTTAAAATAGTTTTTAATTCTAAAAATATTGCATACAGATTTAGAAGTCAAACAACAAAAATTAGCGTAATATTTTCAAAATTTTAAAATTATTTTGAAATATTTTGGCGTGATATTCTGTCTTGATTATTGCATACAGATTTACTAAAGGCATAAAAACCTTAACCGGAAGATAAGAACAACATAATTCAATCATTTTTAAAGCAAAAAATGTACAATTTACAAACATATAAGAGTAAAGAAACTGAGATTGCTGAGCCGGGTAGCAGAGTGGATATATATATAAATATATTTTTATATGTTTGGTGTGGCCGATTGAAACCAAAATATGAGGTGTACATCTGCATGTTATAGCAGTCCTAGATATAAAATTTCAACGTTCTAAGGCTACTCGTTTTTGAGTTATGCGAGATATGTTCGTACAGACGCCACGAAAAATTCTCTTCAAAATTCATTTTAGAGCAGTTTTATAATTTTTTTGGAAGAAAAGAGTCTTTTATTCTGTTCTTACGTACAGATATCACGCAAAAACATCGTTAAATTCCATTCGATAGCTGTCAGAATGAATATTTTCGTTAAAATATGCTGCCTGAAACTTTTCACGATTACAATACTTCCTTTTTGCTTCATACAAGGAAGTAAAAAGACATCAAAGACTGACCCACTTCCACTTGGTACAGCAAAATTAGCACAAGACAGTGGCTCAGCTGACAGCCCAATATGATGCAGGTCTGAGTGCAAGTGTTTAGGAACAGACAGTTCAGTGAACACTGTTGGATGTCATTCGTGTGTGTCTGTTGACCAAGCACTCTTGTCAACTATGCCTACAGGGAGACTTGCGAGTATTCAGACTGCACCACGCACACATGGAAGACAATTGCCTAGTTGGATGAATTGCAGTTTTTCATTCATCAAGTCGATGGTTGAGTCAGCGTCCGCTGTCTTCCATGCGAACAGTTGCTGGCCCCCATACCCCAGGTGATACACAGGCTGGTGATGGGTGGTATTATGCTTTGGGGGATGTTCTCTGGAAACCTTAGTAGTACACCATGAAAGCTTTTGACTATCTGAACATAATTGTGGATCACTTACATCCATACATGGCATTTGTCATGGAAATGGAATTTTTCAGCAGGACACAACGCTCTATGTCACTAAGCTCAGATTGTGTTCAAGTGGTTTGAAGAGCATAAGGATGAATTCCAACAAACATCATGGCCACCTAACTTACCAGATCTTAACCAGATAGAGTACATTTGGGATGCCGTGGAGTGGCAGCTCTGAGCTCAAACACCAGCATGTCAGAATATCTCGACCTTGTGTGACCGCTGCATAGACTGAGAACTTGTGGCTTTCATGCCAAGGTGAGTTGCAGCTGTTTTGCAGGCCAGAGGTTACACAACACGTTATTGAGTAGGTGGTCATAATGTTTTGGCCTTTCAGTGTATTTGCTTGTTGAAATGATAAGAATTTATGCAGTGCATTTTTAAAAAGTGTATTGATTCTTTTGGGATCATATTTTGAATTCTTAAAAAAATTAAATTGAACTGTTAAGCTTTTTAACATAGTTGGCAGCATGGATATATCATGATTATATAAGTTTGAATTATGCAAGAAAATCTGATATTTTATAAATTACATTAAAAAGAACTTAAATTTGTTAGATGAGTGTCAAAATATTGATTTTTTTTCCCTTGTTTCAATTTTTAAATAATTTGTGTTGAAGATTTTATTTTCTGGAAACAATTGATGGTGAAACTCAGGTCCGAATTCAGATACAAATGCTTTAAATACAATAATGTTTGCCCTTCTTTTTTTACACACTTAATGAAATAAGAATAAGTAATCAATCCTTTTTCCCCTTGAAATTTCCCAATTTGCTCTATCCCCCCCCCATTCTCGTTCAAAACAAAATCTTCTTAATCTTTCTTTTTAATAAATCCCTTATTTGTCATTTTGCTGTAACATTTAAAAATCAATAGTAACCAGTCATCTAAGCTAGCCGTTTAAAATACTGTTGATTATTGTAATTCAATTTTTAATCTTTCAGTCTTCAAATAATTTTAATTTAACGCGATTCATATACTTTAACATGGCTTCTTACCTCTAAATTTATTTATTATTAGTTAATAATACTATCAAATTCGAGGCAGTTTTCTCATGCTCTTGAAACTGTGTAAGCATTGTGGCATATATCATGAAATTTAGTGCACATATTTTTTACTTAGATATGCTGCTAAATAAATATAAAATACTTGAATTTATTTTGAAATATTCTTGAATATATTTCTTTTCCCCTCCTTTTAGCTGTAAAATGTCTGCGAAAAAGACATTTTGTAATCCAAATTGGCTAGATTCTGATCTCAAGCTTCAGTGGAGTCCACGATTGCAACTTACTGAAGGAGCTCCTAATATGGCAAGATATTGGAAAAAAAAAATCATGCTTTGTAAAGTGCAAGAAAATCATTTCTATGAGGATGAACTCAGAAAATTTTTTAAAAAAAATCTGTACAGAAAAAAACAGTTCTGAACCACGGCAGTCTCCAGCATCAGTTGCTGAATCATTAAATTTAAACTCATTCCTTGTCAAGGACAATGTTTTAACTGTGCAATTACTGTTAACTATGAAATTTGTTTGTTCACATGTTTCTTATAATGCATTTAATGAAGCTGTTGTTATGTTCTAGAAAATGTTTGATGACAGCAATAAAACTATAACCATGGGGTGTACAAAAATGTCATATTTAGGCGTCATTAGGTTTAGCTGTATGCTTAAAAAAAAAAAAGACTCATTTTTTATCTTAAGAACACCAAATTTGTAATATGTTTCAATGAAGCTTTAAAGTGAATTATCCAGAGCTGTCAAAAGGATCTTTTTGTTAGATTTTGCTGTAATGGAAGCAATGAAGTGAGTACAAGATACCTAACATCAATTTCCAGGGGGGGGGGTGCACTGCTGCTACCAAATGTACTGCAAAGATGTTTTTGACGGAACTTCAGAACTACATAAAAAGAAATTGCTTCAGGTATTCTTGGATGAACCAAATGCCAATTTAAAAATTTAGCAAATAGTAATGACTGTCATATATTAGATATTGGGTCCTGTTGTTTGCATGTCGCTCATGGTGCCTTTAGAGCTGTGCATAGAGCTGACTGAAATCTAAATGCATTATTTAAAGATACACATAGAATATTTCCTCCATGGATATGCATAGAATATTTTTTTATTATGCATAGGATATTTATTTAAAGATAGTCCTGCTCAGTCAGCAGATTATATTGCCATCACTAACTGTACGACTTTCCCACTTCCAAGTTTTGTGAAAATATACCTATTGCTAAGAGAGCTACTGATATTTTTCCTCGTATGAAAAAATATAGATAATTATCTGAACTGTCAACAGGGTTGCCAAGCTACCTGGAAAACTGTAAAACGTCAGGGAATTTAACTATTTTAGTCAAAATCTGGAAAAATCGTAATTTCATAATGGCGATTCCCCAAAAGGCAATTTTCGCACCAATGTTAAAAGCGATCATGTTCTTGGCGAATTATGTATCACATGTGCGCATTCAGGCAGCTGGCATAGTATTTTCACAGTGCCAATCAGATTGTTTTTCAGAAAAGCAAAGAAAGTTTCCAGCATCTCTGTTTGCATTGAATTCAGCGCCTCGCACAAAGAATCGCATGCGCATTTGGAATGGAAGAAAGAGTTGAAGTTCTGCCTCAAGAGAGCTTAAGAGAGCTCGTTTTTCTGTTTTCAGTTAAAAAGTCTGGTAAGTTAAATTTTGCAATCCTTTATATCTTATTAACTTTTTTTAATGTATGTTTACCCTAACACTTTATTGTATTTGCTTGTTAAAATGATAAGAATTCATGCAGTGCATTTTTAAAGTTAAAAGAAGTTTATTGCTGCTTTTGAACGTATTTTGTGCAGTATTAAAATCAAATTGAACTGTTAATACATCGTTGGCGGCAAGTATATATTATGATTATCAAACTTCAAAATTACGGGGGGGAGGGGGGAATCTGATACTTTATAAACTTCATTGAAAAAATTGAATTTGTTTGGTTAATGGCAAAATATTCTCCCCCCCTTTTTGTGTTCTGAATTCGGTTTTCCGTTGTTTCGATTTTTAAATAATTCGCATTTAAAATTTATTTTTGAGAAATAAATTGCAATAAAACTTGTGGCCGAATTCAGAAACACGTTAAATATGAAAAGGTTTTTCCCTCGTTTTATACACTTCATGTAGTAAAATAAGTAACCAGTCCTGCTCTTGCTTGAATTTAAATTTGCTGTTCCTTCCCCCATGCCGTACATCTTTTTAAACATTTTTTTTTTTTTAAATGCCTTGTTATTTTGGAGTAAATTAAACAATAATATTATCTTGCTAACCATTCAATATAACTATATTTGGCAAAATACCGTTAATTACTGTAATTCACTTTTTAATCTTCAATTAATTAACTTTATTTAAATGTTATTTATGTCATTTAATTTTGCTTCTTCCTTCTAAATGTATTTCTTATTAGTTAATACTTTCAAATTTAAGGCAGTTTTCTATGACATACTTGTGAAACTAATTCTGGCAGTATGATAACACCATTACGAAATTTAGTGCGCATATTTTTAACTTATGTATGTTGCTAAATAAATATAAAATACTTGAATTTATTTTAAAATGTTAAATAGCTTTCTTTCTTTCCTTTAGCTGCAAAATGTCTGAAAAAAAGACATTTTTTAATCCAGATTGGGCAGATTCTACTCAATCCTCAGTGGAGTCCATGGTTCCAACCTATCGAAGGAGCTTCTAACATGACAAGATGCACATTTTGCCAAAAAAAATATCATGCTTAGTAATATGGGAAGTAAGGCAATCACAAGCCACATAAACAGTGTAAAGCATAAAATTATTTCTATGAAGATGAACTCAGAAAACTTAAAAAA